CCTACTTGTTGAGGCCATTTGGAGAGTGAACCAGCAGATGAAAGATCTCTTTCTGTCTCCCTCTTTCTATGTCTAGTAGAGATAACTCTTTAAGAATAAGAAAGGAATTTACAGGAATTACTAGTCTCTGAGTTATGAAAACAAAAAATGTACAAATAATTATTCTGCAGGTGCATATGAAATATTCAGGCCTGTATTTGTGACAGTGGCCTTGGGAGCAGGCAGGGGACCTGGCCCCTATCTGGGAAGGGAAGGAGATTCTTTTAGTCTCAACAGAAGCCAGATAAATTCTGGAAATCTTACACATTGTAGAGCAGTGCCTCTGATAGTCTGTTTTCAGCATGTCCGATTTGCATTTTAAAACTTGGAACTTGAAGGGGAATATTTACTAACTTATGGGATTGAACATTTTCTGCAGTTGGTTAGGAATCCAAAGCCTGGCGCTTGGATGCGTGAGTAGATCCGGATGAAAGTAAAGTTACTATCAAAGTTTTGTTTAGAGTAGATGTTCTATTTTAAATATGGGTCTTGAATATTAGAAGCACATAGTATAACAAATATGATCTGAATTCTCCCATTATTGGGGTTTCTCCAAATAATTATCCTGATTTTATTTTTGATCCTCTTTCTCTGTCTTTCCAATCCATCTGGAAGTTGCAGATATCATAATACATTCCTTTTAAATATTTTACCTTAAATTCCCTGTTAGCTAAGAACATTGTTACCCATAGCCATATTTAAGTTTGTGGAAAATAGGATTAAAAAGTAAATTTCTCATCATGCAAAACCAATTGAAATCTTTGCATAGGAGAGGTCTTTAAAAAACATCACAAAAATGAATATATGCAACTATTGAGGGTATTGACTTTCCTTTCATCAAAATAAGCATCTTTTAATTCCATTCCCACAGCATTTGTAAAGTATCCTTGTATATCCCGCCAATATTCAGGCTTAGGACCTCATGTGCCCTCTGTACTCAGATTTCTCCATCTGCTACAAACAGCGTCATTTTACTGTAGTTTTGTTTTGCTTCGTGGATGAGATGAAGGATTCTGTCAAAAACCTTGAACATCTGTCATCCACATGGTTCTTAAGTCTCCCTTATGAACCACGCCGTCTCCTTGCCTTTTTTGTTTTCCTGACATTAACCTGTGTAAAGTCTAAGGCAGTCTATCGAGGGCGACGTCCTACACCTTAGACTCTTCATGGCATTGGTTCTCATGTGAGTCAGTTTAAATTAAGCATCACCAGCAAGTGTGGGGACTAACCACTCTCTTGCCGAAGTGGGTGATGGTAGCCAGACCAAATTTAGTCACTTGGCTAAGAAGTTGTTCGCAGACCTTGCTGTGGTGACGGTACTGAATCCTCTGGAGAGCTAGCAGGTGGGGTGATTCTTGAAACTTGTGTACGTGCCTTGGGCCCTGGCAATCAGTAGTTGGACATGCCTTTTCCAGCGTTCTGTGGATCAATTATGATGTTGGTGGTTGCAAGGTGATGCTAACTGAATTTCTGAAGTTGTTTCACTGAAGAAATACTCTTCTTTCATTCCCATCCCATGCTTGGAGAAAAATTTCAGCCCCAAAGACAAATGAGAGGAGGAGCAATGAAAGTGAAAAGGGAACACAACCATCCAAATATATGATAGCCCGAAAGATGCATGAAGAATTTGCTTTTCATTTTGTAAGTAGATTTGCTGACAGGTTCTTTGAGAGAGAGCAAGTGAGTGAGAAAGAAAGCTCTTTTTTTGGAAATTTGCACTTAAAATGCTAAGTCTTTATTGATGCAGGTGAGAAAAAAAAAAAACTAAGTTATTTAGCCGTTCTGATTTTCTTCTGGACTGAAAGAATTCTCTAGTCTTGAGATAAAGTTCCTTTCAACAGCCACAATCTACACAGATATGTTGATCCTTCCATAAAGCATATTATATTGAAAACAAATGGGTATTAAAGCTAAGGGACTCCTTTGAAAGGTGGGATAAAGCGGAAATTGTTTAGTAGGAGGGAGAATTTGTGATCTAGGCTAATAATCATTTGGGGAATTCATTTGAAGGCTTTGTACCCACTCTACTGGTGACTGGCTCACTCAGTGAGTATTATCTGATGAGGATCTTATTTCAAGGCTGAAAGCAGAGCATTGTTCTGTTTGTTTGGATATTAGGGAGTAGATGTTAGGGGAAAGATTGAGTCCAGCCAGTGCAACATAACACCCACTCACCCATCTTGAAGTTAGCGATCATCCTGCATCCTAGGTCCTCTCCCTTGCATCTCAGAAAGAGAAGATTTCTATATTTGACGCTATTAACTGTCCTTCCTAAGTAAACATAGCTCTTCTTTAATATTGAAGCAAGAGTCTCACCGCTCTGAGAGTTCATCTTCACTTGCCTCCTGCCTCTTTGCATTGTTCGGTATGGGTATTTTCGACACTGTATTAGCTAGACTTGGCTAATGCATCCTGAGTCCTGCATTTACAATCTGTTCTTTTAGCCTCTGATTGGCATGGTGCAATTACACACTTTTTCTTTTCTCTCATTGGGGTTCTGCTGAGCAAGAAGTTGGCATGGCACAAATGGTCTAGAATGCATTTACATACAGCAGCCTCCTGTTCAGTGTGTGGAGGTAGCTGTGAGTACCGCTGCATTTACCTGGTAAATTCTCACACCGTGTTTCGGCTTCTATTACAATATTGGTTTGGCTCCTAGAATAAGGATCATTCAGTTGATCTCTAGCAAGTTCAAGCAGCTGGGCTTGACGAACCTTATGGTTGAAGAACTCACTGGGAAATGACATACTATATCCCAACATTTGATGCTTAATGAGCTGGGTGTATGTCTAGCAGTTACAGCAGTTGTATGAGAGGTTATACGAAAGCTGCTATCTAAGTGAGTACTTCTGGTTGGCCCTCAGTGAGTCTACTGAAACCCCACCTCTGATAGCAGAGGGCCTGTTTTCCTTGGAGCTCCATCGGGGTCTCCCACATGGGTGGCATTAGCCATCGTCTGCTGCTTTACCCAGATATGCTAGCAGATAGCTGGATTGATATAGCCAGAACAGGACCCGGTGCTCATACTGAATGGCAGTGTCAAGACTGTGGCTTAGCCTATTCTGCCTACCCTAGAACCTGATCATAGTTGAACAAGCAGCTAATAGCTTCAGAACAGCTCCATTGAGAGGCAGAGGGAGAAAGAGTGCACAAGTGAGCTGTTGTCGTTTACTCCCCGGGTGTGCAGTGTCCGATGCAGGACAGGCTGAAGCCAAGGACTCAGTCAAGGTCTCCCATGTGGGTGGCAGGAGCACGATGACATGTGTCATCTCGGACTTCCTCCCAGGGTCTTCCTTAGCAAGAAGCTGAAGTCAGAAGCTGGTGCTGGAACGAGAACCCAGCCACTCCATTATGGGATGTGTGCATATTAACTAGCATCTGCGCCACTATGCCAAATGCCTGCTCTTTGCTTATTTATTATTCATTTTTAAGATTTGTTTGAAAGGCAAGATTACACAGGAGAGTGATAGGGAAGAAGGAGAGAGGGGAGCAGAGAGAGAAGTGTTTCACTCTTGAAATGGCTGTAAATGGCCAGTCCAAAGCTAGGAAGCCAGGAGCAGCTTCTGGGTTTTCCACATGGGTAGCAGGGCCCAAAGATGTGTGCTGTCTTTGGCAGCTTTCCTAGGCACATTAGTAGGGAGCTAGATTGGAAGTGTAACAGGCAGGACTTGAACTGGTACCCACATGGGCTGCAGGCATGTCAAGTGGCAAGTTAACCCTCTATGCCACAACCCCTGCTTCCCAACCCGCCTGTTCTTTTAACTCCGTTGTCTACCTTTGACATTCTTATTGCACAAGACCCTTTATAACTGTGCGTTTATATAGTTTTTCTCTTAAATAAGAAACCACTTGAGTTCAAAGATTATTCTTTTGGGGGGGGGAAGCTAAGAAATTATCTGGTGCTTCTCTGTGCTAAGTATTTGTGGAAGGTGGCTAGGAAGAGATGAAGGGGTTAATAAGCACATGGAAATTGAGGGAAGGAAGGAATTGGAGACTATGGAAACTCATGCTTTTCCATGTGAACTTAAAAACTGGGGGAGGGGAAGGGACAGTGAATCAGCCTGTGGGTGGAGGTGACAGTGGTGCCGGTGGGGGGAGCAGCGAGGGATCAGGTTGTTGTCCATCGTAGGGAATGTCAGGGCAAACATGGGGAAAGGCTGATGACAGTTCTGGAGGAATTCCGAGAACGCAGTGGAATGGGTTGGGAAAGGCATCTGGTTAGGTCAACATCAGCCCATAACTTTGTGCTAAATACATTGCTTCTGCTGGGAAAACTGTTTCATTGCAAACTGACTCAGACTCTCCCTTGTGGATGTCCTGGGACTCACATCTCGTGGGCACATCCTCAGGAGAATGGTTGATAGCAAGGGCAGTGATCTGGATTGCTCATTTCTCACAGCGGCCCCAGGGGTGGGGTGATTGTCCCACCTTATGAATGAGGCTTCGAGTGCTTAAGTAGCATCCCGAAACCTCTCATTCCTCCTAAGTGGGCCACTCATTGCAACCAATGTGCCAGAGCATGCTAGAACCAGCCAGTGTGTACTAGCGCCAGTGTGGTCTTCCAGGACAGTCGGAGTTGTTGATGGGAAATTCCCGAGACTTCAGCCGTGGAAATGAGCTTGCTGGGACTCTCAGTGCCTACTCCTACCTGCTGCATTCTGAGGAAGTTCAGCTAAAACCACACCAACATGGGGATCGGACAAATTGTACCGCATTGTGAAAAGTGGATAAAATAGAACGGTGAAAGGAGATAAAGTTGGATGAAATATCGGAAGAAGAGGGGAGAGGAGAGAGAATTTTTGAATATCTCCAGCTGAAGAAGCATAATGCTACCTGTAATTACCCAAGAGTACTTGTTAGCCCTCCGGACAGTGCACGCCCCTTGAGCTGGAGCCAGGACGGAGCGATTCTGACAGATGTGAGAACAAGAGCACCCCTTCTGTTCACCGGGGGAAGCGGACCTATGGAGCTTGTACAACAGGAGCTGACAGAACGTTGAGAGATGCACAGGAGCCTTCTTCGAGGAAGTCTTGAGGTTGGATTCGCTTGCTTCTACAGCAGAGACTTTTCCTCGGCGCCTTCTGCTGGGGGCTCCCGGCGACCTTGGCGGGCCGGTCTCGCCTCAGCAGAGGAGAAAAGAGCTGCTGCCTCAGCCAGTGGAAGATCCTCCCAAAGTGCAGGCAGAAGAAGGTGTGAGCACCGCGGGGCGTGCCCTCCGTCTCTGGCTGTTCCAGTGAGATGCTTGTCCTTCTGCTGCAGGTCACCTGGGCTGCCCTCTGCTAGGAAGGCAAAAGATGAATCAGGTACACTTGTGACAGCGGTGGAGTCAGGACTTAATTATGTAGGAAACTCAGATCCTTTTGCCCAGAACAAACTCACTGCAAATGAATGGTGATAATACTCGTCAACGCTTGAACACATAATTCTGTTTTGGTATGATTTGTTAGCCCTTTTGTCTGGTCCTGTCCTTCTCCCTCCTCTGTCACTCTGTAATCCTCAGAATTGTCCCTCCAGCTGCACCCTGAATCCTTGGTTTGCTCTTAACACACACTCTTGTTATGTCAGGCACCCAAGGGGCCCATCCTTTCCCCACCACCAATAAGAAGGCTCCACGCAGTGCACCTGTTTTATGCCATACCTGTCCCTTAATCTCCCTGAGGGGACATCTTCATGCTCACCTGAGCAAGTTCATCTTCACTAAGCCTTAGAGAGTTCTCTGGGGATCGAGTGGCATCTTTCGCTTCTGAGCCTTTGAGCCTGGCCCAGTCTTGGCTGGAGTTGTGTTCCTGTGGACTGACCCGAGCCAGGTGTGGGGAGGTGCTGGACCCCTGGGAATCTTCCTCCTCAGTAGCCGCGGGGAACACCGAGTCCTTATCTTCATCATCTTTCCTATTTTCCAGGAGTGTCTCCAGCTTTTGCATGAGATTCCCCAGTTTGCTGAGAGTCCGTTTTGTACTCTCTACCGGACACTGGTCTGTCCACTGCTGCTCACCACTTAGAACCCAGTCTGTTGTGTCTTCAGGGTCGGAGTCCACATCCATGTCCCAGGCTGTAGCAATGCTCAGCTTGCAGAACTGCTCAGGGTTGTCGGGAACTTGGTCTCGTCTCAGCATTCGTCTCCTGGTGCTTTCCGTCTGCCACGTTCCCTGGATAGGAGGCAGCAAGTGCACGGAGGAACCCACGGAAGATGTGTCCGTGCAGGCGGTGCTCTCTGAGTAGCAGTCGTCCTCACAAGGGAAGTACCCTGTAGAGAGGCTCACGTTGGACTTGGATTCTGAGGTGTCGTTTTCTGAGTCACTGTAGTCGCTGATGGGCTGGGAGCACGCCATGGTTCAAGGGCTGGAAGTCACAGGATTCCCTTGACTCAGAAAGCTTCAGAGAAACAAAACAAAAACGTGGGTACTGGGGAGGAGAGGCACGACACTTAAGCACTGTCACCATACACCCTATTTTCTATTCGGGTTTCCCTGCATTGAATGTCATCCTGTTTTTACCATCTTTGATGAAGAGCAGAAAAAAGTATTGCTGTGTCTTTAAAAATTTACTTCCTGGACCTGATGTGGTAGCCTAGTGGCTAAAGTCCGTGCCTTGCATGCATTGGTTTCCCGTGTGGGCGCTGGTTCATATCCCTGTTGCTCCACTTCCTAACCAGTTCCCCGTTTGTGGCCTGGGAAAGCAGCCGAGGATGGCCCAAAGCCTCAGGACCCTGCACCCATGTGCAAGACCTGGAAGAAATTCCGGGCTCCTGGCTTTGGATCAGCTCAGCTCTGGCCTTTGCTGCCACTTGGGGAGTGGACCAGCAGACAGATCTTTCTCTCTGTCTCTCTTTCTCTGTAAATCTGACTTTCCAATAACAACAAATCTTAAAAAAAAAAAAAAAAAGCATCACTTCCTTGTAGAAGAACCCTCTGTCCTGGGCATCTCCACCCAATTCTTCCCTTTATTGGTGTGTTACTGCAGTTGGAGGAGCGTGTGCTGCAGAAGAAAAGGCTGAATGTGTTTAAAATTAGGAAAATGCAGAGAAGTGGCTTGATGGAAGGGCTTTCTCGTGATTCCACCGTCCAGTGGAAGTGATAGCCTTCAGGGAGAGGGATGGAATTCCGTACAGTCCCTTTTGTTCCTTTGTATATGAAGTATGTATCTAGGTATGTTCCCACACCCTTCCATATATAGATGTCACATCAGTGGAAACTCTGATTATTACATTTTTATATCATAGTGTGCAATAAGCATATGTATGGCTACTGTGTAGGCTTAAACTTACTTTCTCAAATGAAACATTTTCCTCATTATGAAATTTATGAATTTTCTCTGTTATGCATGACTCCTTGGAGTCACCTGTCAGTGACCAGTATATGGTTAAGATCACTGATGCTTATTAATGGTCTGTGGGTGTGAATGTGCAGTAAAGTTCCCGGTGCTTAGATCTCTGGCCGTGTCTCTGGTTATTTTCCTGTAGTTGGGATTAAAAAAAAAAAACAAAGATCACAGGTGTATTAAAGTTTCGTGGCAGTTGGCACCACATTGCTCTCCAGAAAGGTTATAGCCATTCCCATGCCCGTCTTCTCGTTACCTGCTGGCATTCTTCAGCGCAGCTTTTCCTGGGATGACCCAGAAGCCAGTGAGGATGGAAGAACACACACCATGCACATGTGCACAACATGCACAGGTACAGCACACATCTATATACAGAGACTGTGGCGCCCTGCTCTGATGGCTGCCCACGTGGAGGAGGCGTTGCCCACTCCTGAAGCAGACAGCACAGGTCCTTCTCGTGCTGCAGCTCAGCGGCTAGATGTCCAACTGTCATAAGCCTGTGTTCCAAGACTGTTGGTTACCATGGCAATGCAAGGACCCAAGTTACACTGTGTGGTAAGAGAAGGAAAAGGCTAGAAAACCAAAAGATCCATCCCCTTCTTTCCCGAATGTTCTGTAGCCATACATGTATGGCTCAAGAGGATCCCACTTGAGAACAGGGTGTTAAAGTAAGTAGCTCAGATGTTTCTGTCAATGGGAAACATGGAGCCTGTTTGGTGAGATGGACAAAAGTCAGACATATTGGTTGGTGCAATAACAGAGCTAATGCATGGGAGAGCGAAAGATACTTTGCCTCCAGGGCTGGGATGTGCGTGAAGTACCAGGAAAGACCTAGGGGAAATGCCTTCCAACCTGAGTGTTGATGGATGAGTAGGAGTTAGCTAGGTGAAAAGAGGTAGTAAGTCTTGGGGAAGATGGTGCCGAAGAGGGGAATTGTGCACTGATGTCGCTGAGGTCAGGAAGGCCATGAATGAATGAGTGAAATCCCCTGTTAAGGTTCCTGGTGTTTCCCAGCCTATGCACACCCATAAGTATTCTTGCATCTTCCTGGCAAATACTTGACAGTTTTTTGAACAAGATTTACGTTGTCTGGACAACATGAGCATGGTTAGTTGTCTTGAATGAGAATGGACTCAGTAGAGTTGTAGGACAGGGAGCCAAAGCTGCACAGGGTTGAGAAGTGAATGAGAGGAGTGGGATGGGCACAGTGGGACTGCCCGGATCTTCCCTAAGAAGTCATTCGGACACCAGTATCTTGGAGTGTTTCCTCTGCTTTTTCTTCCAACATCGTCATACTCTCAGGTCTTAAGTTCGAATCTTTGATCCATCTTGAGTTAGTGTTTTTAGTTCAGCAGCTGGCATTGTGGCACAGCAAGTTAAAATGCTGCCTGAGATGCTGATAGTCCACACAAGCACCATTTTGAGTCCTTGCTACCTCGCCAACCCCCTCCAGCTTCTGGGTAAGGAAAGTATGTCAGGTGAGAGAACTGAGTGGGGTTCTGGGCTCCTGGCTTTAATCTTGCACAGCCCTGCCTTCTACAACCCTTGAATAGTGATTCAGCAGATGAAGACCAGTCTCTTTCTCTCTCTCCTCTCTCTCTGCAACTCTGCCTTTAAAATACATAAATCTTTTTTTTTTAATTACTCTAACAACCTTATGCCTACCACTTGAGTGTTTACCAAGGTCCATGCCCTGCAGCCTACTGCTTCTAGGCAGTCATACATCCAGTGGTTTATATTTTCTGTTGATTTACGTGAGAGGAGGAAGGGAAGGCAGAAGCAGAGAGCCCTGTCTTCCAGTTCACACCGAGAAGCCTGCAGCAGGCAGAGCTGGACTGGGCTGAAGCTGGGAGCCAGCCAGCCAGCCTGGGTCTCCCACATGGGTTCCTACCCCAGGACCCTGATGCAGAATCTTGGCATGCTAACCAGCAGGTTGTATGCCCATTCCTATGGATTTGTTTTTAGCCTGTCTTGACTTCAGATCTGTGAAATACAGAGCTCACAGAGTTGGAGATAATCGCTGTAAGATGCTTAGTCAACGACTTAGGTTTTTTTTTTCTGTAATTGAGGAAGCCAACACCTTCCTTTGTCTATCAGTGGCAGTACTCCTGAGGGAAGGATGTTTTTATTTGATTCTAAAATTTTCATAGACTTTTTTTTCATTTTATGACAATTTCATAGGCTCTGGGATTCCCTCAGCCCCTCCAAAGAGCCCTCCCCCCATATTGAATTCCTACATATTGTTACAGTAGTACAGTTCATATCCAGTCAATGACATAGATTTTTTTAAAGATTTATTTTTTTTTTTATCAGAAAGGCAGATTTACAGAGACAAAGAAAGACAGAGAAAGATTTTCTCTGGTTCAGTCCCAAATGATTGTAATAGCTGGAGGCGAGCTGATCCAAAACCAGCAGCCAGGAGCTTCTTCTGGGTTTCCCATGCGGGTGTATGATCCCAAGGATTTGGACCATGCTCTACTGCTTTCCCATGCCATAAGCAGGGAGCTGGATGGAAAGTGGAGCAACCATGGGGCATGAAGCAGTGTCCATATGGGATGCCAGCACTTGGAGGTGGAGGATTAGCCAGTTGAGCCAGCACCGTGTCCCACAGATGTGGACTTTTTCCAACCATGATTATAGGCCAAAAATATGTGTAATATAATGTGTGCATTTAATGATCATACTTATGTGATCATCATACTTCTGCAGAGCCAGCAGCATCCCAAGGTTGACTGCTTTATTCTCTGTGATGTTTACATGTGCCAGCACAGTGTGTGATCTGCCAACCCCACCCACTGTTGGATAGTTGTGCCTGGTGGTTAGGCCTCCTGTCCTAATGTGTTTGGTGGCCAGCAAGCTTTTCCCCTTGCAGTGCACCCTGCAGTAGGGGTATACCTCCTGGAGTCGGGGGTGTGCACCCTGCAGTCGGGGGTGTGCACGCTGCAATCGGGGTGTACATCCTGCAGTCAGGGTATGCATCCCTCAGTCAGGGTGTGCACCCTGTGGTGTGGGGATGCCAGAACAGGATCCTGCTGGGGCTCAGCAGAGGTTTGAGGAGCTGAGCTTCCGCTCACTGGAGGTCCCGCTGGAGCTGTTGGTAAGGGTCATGTGAGGCCACAGCTATCCTGCTATGGACACCATTGTGCACTGAGGAGACTGTGGCCCTGTTGGAATGATGTCTGAAGGGACAGGGTGCAGACTTTTGAGGAAACACAGAGCCATGAACCCAAGGGAAGTGTACTGCCTCAAGGAGAGCTTTGTTCTGGTCCTCCAGTGGACTGGGCAGGAAAGGCGCCGAGGCAGGAAGTGATGGGGCTGATGCTCTGCATCCATCACCCAGGACCTCAGGAGCTCAGAAGCAGGCAGACCAGCATCAAGCTCCCAAACTAGCCTCAACAGGCAAAGTAGAAGGGTGGCTTGTGAAATGTTTCCTGCATTCTGGAAAATCAGAAAGGCATGTGCACTGTACCAAGAGTGAGCGAAGAGTGGACGTGAGGGGTAGGTGCATAGCAGGGTCAGCTGCCCTCAGGGATGTCTGCATTCCACAGTGCAGGGCCTGGGATTGAGGTCTGCTTCTGCTTTTGTGCCTAGCTCCTTGTTCGTGCACCTGGGAGGTATCAGGTAATGGCTTGGCTCCTGGAATCCTTGCCACACACATGGGACCTGGGGTTCTTGGCTTGGCCTGGCCCGGTCCGGCCGTTTCCAGACATTGGGAGAGTGAACCCACATATGGAAGATCTCATCTCAGCCTCTCCTCTGTCTTTCCAGTGAATGAAAACAAACAAGCGTGATTTCAGAAGAAATCAAATGTGCATAGAAAGGCGGCGGGGAGGGGTTGTCAAGAATTTGGTTTCATGGAAAGGGAATTGAGGAGAAAGAGTAGAACCTGGGCTGATGAGGCTCTCCGTGTCCCAGCCGCATCATCAACCCTGAGTCCCAGCGGCAGCCCTGGGGACCAAGACCTGCGCCTGTCCTCCCTGCCCCCACCTTGAAGCGATTTACCAATTTGTTG